GTTTGAGCAAATCATAGGTCATCATCGTCACTTTCAACCACACCCACTTATGAACATTTCAGATTTAAACCAGAATAAGAACATTACAATTTATTCGATTTATCTTTTTCTTTTTTTGTATAATTATTTTATTGGCGAATATTAAATAGTGTCACCAACGTTCATCGTAGTATTGTTTATAATAAAACTATTTACAGACAACGTTTTATTACAATAAAAGAAAATATCACCGAAATTCTACGACATAATCAATAAGTGGATGTGGACATGTTATAGTTATTCTTCATCAATACACCCGTCGAATAATTTACTATACTTTTCTTATTTATGAACATATTTATTTGATAGTTCTAACTAATCGAATATATTAAATAAAGTGACATATAAAAAAAAAGTTTATAAGAAATATTAGTAATAGCATACACATAGTATAGAAAAATAAAAACGTTTCAAGTTAGAGAGATAAATTAACAAGTTTGTAATAAAATCTTTAAATTGTCAGTACCATAGTTAGCGACTGCAAAATCTAGTTTTTTATCATTGTTGAAATCACCAACAACAATAGAAAATGGAAAAGATCCATAACTAACGAAATATACTTTTGAATCAGTAAATCTACCACCACCAGATCCAAACAATATAACTACATTACTGGCACGGTAATTAGCGACAATGATATCTAATAAGGCATCATTATTAAAGTCACCAATAGCAACTGAGTAAGGTTCAGCATTAATTCCAGTTGAATATATTGTTTGATTCATAAAAGATCCATTGCCATAACCGAGAAATACACTGATATTACTATCATTAATATTACTGACAGTCATATCTAATCGACTATCGCTATTTAAATCAGCAACAGCTAAAGACCATGGACCAGAGCCAGTTGCAAACGTTGTTTGATTTAAAAAAGAATTATTACCAAATCCAAGAAAAATACCAATATTATTAGTGCCAGAATTCGCGACAGCAATATCCATAAAAGTATCATTGTTAAAATCGCCAACAATTAATGATCGCGGAACAGACCTCTTACCAGTTATCAGTGTCATTTGGTATTGAAAGTTCTGATTTAAGTAACCAAGATATATACTTATAGTGTTGCTACCAAGATTAGCTGCCACAATATCGAGCCGAGTATCATTGTTAAAATCACCAACAGCTACAGAAACTGGCTGAGAGCCAGTTGAATATGTAGTTTGATTTGCAAAAGAACCATTGCCATATCCGAGAAGTACACTTACAGTATTGTCCCCTCGGTTGGCTACGACGATATCCAGTCGAGTGTCGTTGTTGAAATCATCAATAGCTACAGAATGTGGTGAATTGCCAGTTAAATATTTCATTTGATTTGTAAAAGAACCATTGCCATATCCGAGAAGTACACTTACAGTGGCGTCCAAAGAATTAGGAACGATGATATCCAGTCGAGTGTCATTGTTGAAATCACCAACAACTACAGAAAATGGTGCAAAGCCAGTTGAATATTTCATTTGATTTGCAAAAGAACCATTGGCATATCCGAGAAGTACACTTACAGTGTTGTCACCAAAGTTAGCAACGATGATATCCAGTCGAGTGTCATTGTTGAAATCACTAACAGCTACAGAATGTGGTAAATTGCCAGTTGAATATGTGGTTTGATTTGTAAAAGAACCATTGCCATACCCGAGAAGTACACTTATAGTGGCGTCACCAAAGTTAGCAACGACGATATCCAGTCGAGTGTCATTATTGAAATCACCAACAGCTACAGAAATTGGTTCAAAGCCAGTTGAATATTTGATTTGATTTGCAAAAGAACCAGTGCCATAGCCGAGAAGTACACTTACAGTGTTGTCATTACCGTTAGCAACGACGATATCCAGTCGACTGTCATTATTGAAATCACCAACAGCTACAGAAATTGGATAAGAGCCAGTTGGATACGTAGTTTGATTTGCAAAAGAACCATTGCCATACCCGAGAAGTACACTTACAATGTGGTCACCAGAATTAGCAACGACGATATCCAGTCGAGTGTCATTGTTGAAATCACCAACAACTACAGGGTGCGGAGAACGGCCAGTCGAATACGTTAGTTGATTTCTAAAAGCGCCGGTATCAAATGTAACAAATATATCTATATTATCAGTATTGTCATATGCGACAATAATTTCTGATTGTCCATCATTGTTGAAATCACCAGTAGTAACAACTACAGGAGCAATAGTCAAGCTAGATCCATAAGTTACTTGACGTGTAAATGTTCCCTTTCCATTTCCAACAATCATGTCAATGGTTCTACTGCCATAATTAGATACAGCAAAATCGTGTTGACCATCGTTATTGAAATCACCTATGGCAAGCGAATCTGGATTTGAGCCTGTTGGAAACGTTTTCTGCTCTAAAAACGATCCATTACCATTTCCAGGAAGTACACCTATATCATTAGTACCATAATTAACGACAACAAGATCTAATATCATATCATTATTAAAATCATCGACACCAACATATCGAAGACGAGAACCACCACCAGATGCAAATGTTATTTCGTTTCCTAAACCTGCTCTGTTATAATGAAGCAATACGCTTACAGTGTTGTCTTCTCGATTAGCAACAACGATATCTAGCCGTGTGTCATTGTTGAAATCACCAACAGCTAAAGAGAATGGATTAATGCCAGTTGAATATTCAACTTTGTTTGCAAAAGAACCATTGCCATACCCGAGAATTACATCTACAGTGTTGTCATATGGAGTGGCAACGATGATATCCAGTCGAGTGTCATTGTTGAAATCACCAACAACTACAGAAAATGGGTTAGGGTTAGTGGAATACGTAGTTTGATTTGCAAAAGAACCATTGCCATATCCGAGAAGTACACTTAAAGTGTTGTCACCAGGATTAGCAACGACGATATCCTGTCGAGCGTCGTTGTTGAAATCACCAACAGCTACAGAAAATGGCCAAATGCCAGTTGAATAGGTAGTTTGATTTGCAAAAGAACCATTGCCATATCCGAGAAGTACACTTGTAGTGTGGTCAGCATAATTAGTAACGACAATATCCAATCGAGTGTCATTGTTGAAATCACCAACAGCTAAAGAATGTGGATAATTGCCAGTTGGATACGTAGTTTGATTTGCAAAAGAATCATTGCCATATCCGAGAAGTACACTTACAGTGTTGTCATATACATTCATGACGACGATATCCAGTCGAGCGTCATTGTTGAAATCACCAACAGCTACAGAGAATGGCCAAATGCCAGTTGAATAGGTAGTTTGATTTGCAAAAGAACCATTGCCATATCCGAGAAGTACACTTGTAGTGTTGTCACCCTGATTGACAACCACGATATCCAGTCGAGTGTCGTTGTTGAAATCACCAACAGCTACAGACAATGGCTCAGAGCCAGTTGAATACGTAGTTTGTGGTTCGAAGCCTTCATCATAACCAAAGAGAATACCTATACTGCCAGTATCATTGCTGATGATAATAACGTCAAGTAGATTATCTTTATTGAAATCAGCTACAGCAAGCGAGGTTGAAGAATAAGAGCCAGTTGAATTCATTGTTGGTTTAGCGAAAGTGCCATCACCAAGCCCCAGTAATACACCTATGTTATTAGTACCTTTATTACTGACAACTAAATCAAGCCGATTATCTTTGTTAAAGTCGCCAAGACCAATAGAATATGGTGAAGAACTATTAAGCGAGTATGTTGTTTGACTGGTAAAAATTCCGTTGGTGTTGCCTAGAAATACACCGACATTATTAGTTCCATAATTCGCGACAGCAATATCCAATAAGTTGTCATTATTAAAATGACCAACGATGAGTGAATATGGATGTGAATTAACTCCAGTGGAACATACTTGTTGATGTAAAAAGGTTCTGTTGCCATCTGCAATAAATATACCTATATTATTTGTACCATAATTGGCAATAGCAAGATCTAATTGATTATCCTTGTTAAAATCTGCACTGATGACCGAGAATGGCGAAGAATCATAGCCGGTTGAAATTGTCATCGGATATGCAAAACGTCCATATCCATATCCATAAAATATGCTAATACTATCAGTTCCATAATTAGCTGTAACAATATCGAGTGATGTATCATTATCGAGATCAGCTATATGTATCCAAATTGGACGGGATGAACCAGTTGAGATCACTGGTTTATTGATGAAAGAACCGTTTCCAAATCCAAGAAATAAACCAATGTTATTGGTACCGTAATATGCGACAGCAATATCCGAGCGATAATCGTTGTTAAAATCACCGATTGCTACCATGTATGGAGCAGAATATAAACCGGTCGAGTATATCATGTTACTTGCAAAAGTACCATTATTAAATCCAAGGAATACAGATATACTATCATCGGCACGATTGGCAACAACAATATCTAACAGCTCGTCATCATTGAAATTGCCAACGGCAACAGATCGAGGGCCAAAATTATACTCCACTGGGTTTTGAGGGGTTTGTATAAACTTTAGTTCACATTGTTGGACTAAATAAAAAGGGAAAATAATGTAAAACTTAATTATTCTTATTGAGTTCATAGAATCTCATGTATATTTGAGCACTCAAACATTAAGTAGATTGCATGTATACTTATTCACTTTCTTCCATTTATTGTAAAATTATTAAAAAAACCCGTTGTTTTGATGTAAGAAGAAATGATATTAGTACCCCAAAGGATAGAATCAAATGAATATTAATTTTATTGTGTGATGATAATGAAAAACAACACACAGAATATAATAAGATGTTTATCAATTGACGTGAACTCTTATTCCTCAAAGAAATATACTAGTTATATCTATTATTTTATCATACCATTACTGAGAATAAATAAATAAAAATAAATTTATATCATATATTTAATTGGTATATGAAGAAAAAGCAGAACGTACCTTTTAATTTTGGAGAAGTCAGACACACTATCAATATACTTGTTGCCATTGTTAGAATTGTAAAGAGAGCAAATATACCCACAGCTGTTGCAGTTCGATGTCTTGACCAACGCGAATATTCCCTAATGAAAATATATTCTATATATATTATAATGTTTGCGATAAGAAAGAAATGATATA